TTTATCTATCGTCCTGGTCTTTCCTGCTTATTTGTGTGTGTGTGTTTGTTACTCATGTATTCTCCTATGTGCGGCACTTGTATGACCAAATTGTGTTGCAAGTGCCATAAAATTCTTACTAAAGCTAAAGAAGAGATAGAACGAGAAGGAGTGTGTGTGTGTGTGTGTGTGTTACTCTTAAATCTTCATAAAAGCATCTTTAAGCGCTGTATTTGTGTATGATCCAGTTTCAATTAAACCTTGATAAGAACATTTCTTCACTATTTATATAGTTTGTCTTTTAAACTTCTTTTTTTGGGTACAGTATTTTACTGTCCTTAAAACAACTTTTGTTTCATGAACGATTTTCCTCTCCTTTACCAACACTTTCATGGGTTAGAAAATGGAAACTGTTTACTTAAAAACTAATGATTTAAACAGAGGGTGCTTGTTTTGGGGGACTTTACCTACAGGTTACAACTACAACTGAATAATGACCTAAAGTATGTCACGCACCTGTTTGTGATTCTACCTGATTCTATCTCTTCGTGACTTACTTTACTTTACTTTTCCGATCCAGCGGCCATTTAGGTTCTAGCACTTCGGTCTGTCGATATGGCAAAGAATTGGCAGGTTTTAATCAGCTGTGCTGACAAAAATAAATAAATAAACTGGTAATGGGTGTATCCATCTCACGAAAGGGCGTATGAGCATTTTTGGCATTTTTTAGGAGAGCATTCCAAAGTTTTTGGCTCAACCGTTTGCTTTTTCTGCCCAAATTTTATCCGGAGATTGAACTGGCCCTGATTTATTACCTCCTATAATGATTTATGATGCCGTGTCACGAGATTTTGCAAAAAATTACCAAAAGTATGTCATATACCTGTTTGTTAGAACATACATGTCATGTACTTATGACAGTAGAGACACAGAATTGCCAATACGCCTCAAAAATTTATTAGTAAAAATTTATAAGAAAAAAAATTATTAATTTCTGGATAAACTTATATTTTTAAAAGATTTCAAACCCACCTAACAACAAGAAAACAAAAGTGAACACCCGTTGTCATTCCATGAAATGAAAAGAAAGAGTTACACTTCCTTTGTCTTCAGCGTGTAAAGTAAACATGCTGAATTTTCACAATAAAATTACTGCACAAATCCTGTCATTTAAGATTGGGCTATCATTTAATACAAAAACATAAAAATTTTCTTCAAATCTATACTTCTGAAAGGTACAGGTTAATTATGTTTGTAGAAAGATAAGTTCAAAGCTTTTAGTTTAATGAATATATGTGACAACTTGAGTAGTAGCCTTTAGCGAACATTGTTGCTTTCAATGCTGTGTTTATTAATGAAACAATGCACATATGTTTAAGGAACATTAAAATGAACAATCAATGCAAATGGTCAAAAGTTCAATGCGGCAATGATAAAAAGAATGTTTTGTGTTCCTCCACTCTGATGTTGGCACAACAAAACCAGATCGTTATACATGACTTCATTGAATGACTCTCCCTCAAACTCATCCATTATTTTGACCTTAAAACAGACATCGGGACTCTTCATTAGAGCTTATAGAAAATAATGAAAGTTAAAAGCATTTGTGCACTGTGCACAATAATTTATTTGTTACCCATAATCAAAAGTCCTGTCAACGTTCTGCATTATAGACACGTCCATATTCCATACATATGCTACTGCCCGAGAGCAACAGTGCTAAATGTTTTTTGCTCTTTACTCGGTCATTTTTAAAGCTATCGACACGCCGTTTTGAGAGAACATAGATCTCACGAACATGACATACCGTGAAGTCAAAACCGGTAATTTCGACCTTACGCGATTGACGCGTTATATATTTAAAGTGTGCCTGTTTTAAAGGTTTTCCCTTCGCCTGATGCTCTTTGGAGTTTTCTGAGATAGAAAAACCAAATATTATTCAAAATTACCTGCAGTCAAAAGTCAATCCTACTTACTGTCAGAGAGCAATTGACGACACCCCTGTCTGCCCCTGGCCATGTCGTCTAATTTCGACAAATCCAGGCACTGGGTGATTGTCTCATCCCTTATGGCTTCTAATTTATTTGACTATTTTAGGGGGCTCTCAGGGTCTAGAGTTTTTCACCTCTCATTCAAAGGTCCCGGGTTCGAATCGGGGAAGCGACGGATGGATTTTCTTCTCTAAAAATTGTCTCCTTTCACCTCATTTTCTACTCTCTTGCAATGTTCTGTCGTCTGCTTTGGTCTCCACTTTCTGCCACTATCCCTTCACCCCCTTTGCCACCTCCTAGTTTAGTAGAGGTTTTACGGCGCTCGAGCCACACCCCTGATCTACTGGTAGGAAATAGCTTCTTGATCAATGGCGAAAAATATCGGAGGTCCTGTGGTGCAAGGTAGTCTAAAATCGGCCGCCTTCCGGGCAAAATTCAAAATCTGCTACCAACTGAAAACAGAATTTTTAATTTGTTTCCCCAAGAGTCGATCTGGCCTTGAACAAAAATTTGGAAGTAGATTTTGATTATGAAAAACTCAGGAAATTCCCGACATTTTATAAACACTTGTGGAGAATCGCATAAATCGCTATTGATTGATCACTGAGCCAGAGGGCTGCCAGTCAGTGGCAATGGTGGCAAAATCTCTCCAGGAATGCTGGGGGTTTTCCCTCCGAGAACGATCCATATCTCTGAGCAAACGATCCACGCTCAGATAAGTCCAGGCGCGGGAATTTCCTGGCCAGGTACTCTGCAGGTTGCTGGCCCAACTTTCACCGGATAAGAATAGACAGCAGCTCTCGTTTGAATTTCTGTGGAGTAAAAGGCAGAAAAAGTAGGTTAATAATAATCTTCCATTAAATATAGAAAGAAACGCTATAAAATGAAGCACCCAGGTAGTTCAGGCAGATCACACACAAAAAATAGGCCTACATCGAGACAGCATATTACGAACTTTCAACACGTTTATTTTAAGGGAAAACGGAGGGTTTCAGCAAAAACCGAGACGTTCCATAAAAAGTAAACTCACACTGGAATCGAACGTAGGTTTGCTACGTGTGACGGTTCAATTTTGTGCACCAAATCCTGGTATAAACGGATCGATTCCATAAACCAAAAGCAGCACTGAAACTCGTAAACTCACCCGATTGTTGCACGAGAAAGGCGTCCCTCCCTCATGTCCTCAATGTCGTTGAAGGCTTTCACGGAAATCCGCGACAACCTGCGGAGGAAATTTGAGTGAGTTGTTGTTGTTGTTGTTGTTGTTGTTGTTGTTGTTGTTGTTGTTGTTGTTGTTGTTGTTGTTGTTGTTGAGCGTTAACTCTTCTGCATGATGCCATTCGGTAATAGCTGCATGTCTGTTCTAATTATTGTTTTGTAGAGACAATTAGATGTGTGGGGTAGCTTGGGAAGAAAACATCCCCTTAAATCTACAGAAGAACAGATGATGTTCCACTGTCTCTGAGGGGTAGTCACATAGTGGGCAGGCAGCAGACTGCTTTACTCCAATTCGGTTGAGATGTTGGTTGAGGGGTACATGTTGTGTTCTAAGTTGAAAGATTATGGATTGATCTCCTCTCCTCAACTCATTGATTGGATCTTTGACCAGTGGTTTATTCATGTGGCCATACATCTTCCTTCCTGTACCTGTGGCCCAATCATTCATCCACTCTTCCTTGAGGTTTGACTTGATCATTTGGCTGCAGGTGGTATAATTCGTAGGAGTTTCAGGCTGAGAGAGGCTAGCTCCTTTCTTTGCCAGAGCATCAGCTCTTTCATTTCCCGCTATCCCAGTGTGGGCAGGAATCCATTGTAGGTCTACTCTGACGTGGTGCCTACTTATCAAATTATGTAGACTCCAAATCAAGTGTGATCTTTGTTCACATTAGTCCCACTCTCAAGTGACTCTAGTGTTGAAAGGCTGTCTGTAAAGATAACGGTGTCTGTGGTAGCAAGTGGGTTAGTGTCAAACAAGTAGTTGTTGTAATTTGCTGTGTTGGTGATAGCGTGTTGTTCGGCAATGAAATTGGAGCAGAGGGACCGGCTGGAGTAAAAGACTTCTTTTTTTTTTCACTGGGTAAGTTGATCACGAATCTATATCCAGCGTTGATTGTTGCCTTAAAGGCAGATCCATCAGTGTATGAGTGGATCCATGTTGGTGGATAATGTTTTAGTGCTACAGGATATGTGTTTTTATTGCTCTTGTCCAAAAGTGTTTCCTAATTTCTGGCTTTGCTATGGTGAGATGTGGTGGGAGAGTTGAGGGAACTCTTTCCAGAGGTTCTCGTCTTTCAGGGAGGTGATGTTTTTCTTGGAGATTGAGAACAGTGTCAAGTACAGATTTTGTATTTTTTAGTCTTTGATTCCACTTGTCAAAAAGGACTCTATTAGGGTGGATATTTTCTAAGCCTTTTAGATCTTTCATATACTTCTAAAGCTGCTCGTTTTCTTCGAGTGTTCAATATTTGTGTGGATTTCACAGGCCGCAGTCGGTGAGAATCTCATTCCGCCAGAGATAACGAAGAGCTTGTTTTTGGATGGTGTCCATTGAGTTCTTTGTAGTTTTACTGCAAATGTTTTGTAGAACAAGATTATAATCAAAAACAGCTCTAAATAGAGGCCTCTCAATGTGTTCTTGTCTGATCCCCAGTTGGTACTGGCTAGTCGTTTGATGAGATTAAGTCTCTTCATAGCCTTCTTCCTGTGTTGTTTCAGGTTGAGCTTGCTGTCAAGTTGTACTCCAAGATACACAGGGTTATTCTCCTTTTTCAAGTTGGTACCATCTATTTTGAGAGGGATTTCTGCATTTGCAACTTCTAGTAAAAACAGAGTAGACAGTTTTTTTCGCAATTTACTTTCATCTTCCATAAACGGCAATAGGTTCCTAGGGAGTTAAGATCATCTAGTAGTCTTCGCCTGCTTATTGTTGTCGAGTTTATATGCGTGAGTACAATGCCATAATTTGTTGCAGAGCTTTAATGTTCCTATTCGTGCAGCTTAGAATATTAGACCGATATGTCACCACAGCTGTAAAACGTGTGGCGAGTTCAACGATAAAAAAGGATCCAATTATATATCTAACAGTGAACTCGTCACACCGGGTCCAACAGCCATTCTGTATAATTTTAGTGCTTTGGGCAGTAAGGACAGGCACATTTTTTGAAGGTTTTACATCGTGTAAAAATGTGGAAACAGAAAGGTTTGTGTAGATTATAACTGAATAAACTCTGGTGTTGTATTTTAAAAATAGATATTATTACTTAAGTTGCCAGCCAATCCACGTTTTTCATGTGACGAGATCACTGGAAACATTTAGTTTCTGGACACAAAAGGACTCGCTGAGTGGTCTCCAGGGCAGATTCTGGAAAACTCTTGGATCACTTGGTCCGCCTGGAGACTTTTATACTCAAGACGTTTGCCAATGCCGAAAGAGGGCACATGACAGTCATCTTGTTTACTTAGAAAAAGCCTTCAATATAACCTTGCACGTGTCAAAAAAATCTAAAATGGTCATGGAAACTACACTTTTTTCCCCTTAAATTTGATTGCTTGTCATAGTATGTATTTGGTCAAATTTGCTCTGCTGATAAGCCGAGAAAGCCTTCATGTGTTGCCCCCCAAGAACCGTCCATATCCGTGTCGGATTCTGCCTCTCAAATCCCGACCAACTTGAGGAAGGTGTTTCCCAGGGAAGCATCCTTTCTCCTCTCCTCTTCGAAATTATAATACCCTCCGAAATTTTCTTTACCAAGAATACATTGAATCCATTGAGCAAAATGAAGGTACCGTTGGGAATGCAAACCAACTCGTGTTGCGTACGCGTAAAACTCTTACGCAGATGACAGAAAAAGACTAGCAAACATGAAAGAAGGTGAATGGAGAAAATACCCCCCCCCCCCCCCCCCCCTGTGGTTTTGTACTAATTGTACACCTTCTGCAAATCACATGTCACAAGCCCAAAAAACAAAAGAGTGTTTTGGTAATGAGATTGCTACATTTTTTTCGATCCTTTTGTTTAACTGTTGATACGTTTGCACTAGCTAATATGCACCACGGTTTATCATTTCAGATAGTTCTGTTCAATTGTGATGAGTTCACGTGCTAGAGCAGAGATAGCACTGGCAGGGGTGACTTATACATACCATACATTATTATTCTGCAATGGGTATTGTAGTCTCTACGATGCAAGTTGAAAATTTCTCAGAAGTTTGTCCACCTTTCCTCTAGTGCCAGACATAACGTTTCCCAGATTGTCATATTGTTGTACAGCAAAGTTGTACACGCAGAAAAGCTTTTTTCTATTTTCTAGTACAAAGAAAAGCACTTCATAAATTCACCATTTCCTGTTCAACATCAGAAACAGCATTAAATTTCTTTTCAATTTTTTGGGGGGTTCAGACATGTTACCACGATTTCATTAAAAGGACATTTTGTTTTCAAGTCTTTTTTTTTTCTTTGTTGCTTTTCCTTTCTTCTTTCCTTTTGACCTACCTGGATCTGGGATAGTGCAGACAGTAGAACCTGTAAAGTAGAATCACAATGATAACCATAAGGATGACGGCACATGCGCAAGCGATGATGATGAGGACAATGCCATGAGGATCAGAGTCTGCCCGGGACTTCAGTTCCGTGATAATCTCATCCACACTATCTGATTAAAAGGGGTCGAAATAAGAATTGTATTAGTTAAGCAAAAATACGTGTAACAGCATGTATTAAAATAGTGAACGTTGATATCTACTTCCATTCTAAAATAAGTTGAAAGCGTCTTTTGTGTTACACAGGTAATGCGTTAGGGCGATAACATAATAAAGAACGCCGAAACTTAAGTTTCGAAACTTTGCTTTCTTGACCTAAGACCAGTACTCTCTCTCTCCTCTCTTGAAAATTGTGAAACAAGTTGTGCCCTTTGAGGTCCAAAATCAACTAGAATCGGATTCGACCGACACCAGGGCAAAACTCAAATTTCCTACCAACAGAAAATGTTTGGTGTGTCTCTGCATTTGCAAGTGCTCTAAAATATTCATGCACGCGTCACACACACGCACACACACACACACATACACACACACACACACACACACACACACACACACACACACACACACACACACACACACACACACTCATATGATGATGATGATGATGACAGTGAAGATGATGATGACCTACCTCCAGTAGGCAGTCTGTCCTTACGGACACATATTGGAACGGTTGGCTCCCAGTTCCCGGAGTCCATGCACGTCAACTGAGAAGGAAAAATGTTTTTCAGTCGTTGTAAAGTTCTATCCAGAGGGGGCTCTCGTTCAGTTTTATAGGCTGGTAATAGTTTGTCCGGATCTGCCCTGACCTTGAACTAATTGCTTTAAAGCTGGTAATATGTTTTTTTAAACTGGAAATACATGACCCTTCTCAAAAGCAAAAATCAAGGAAAATGTAATGTATTATGTTTTTTAGCGGAATGATTCAATTTCACGATCAAAATCGAATAATCGAATAAATCGTTTCAGAAGGGGGGGGGGGGGGGGGCTTGGCTACCCTGATTACAGTTAGTAGTGGGTTACTGTAGGGTGAGTTGTTCAAGTGCAGTGTTTTCTTGAAAACTTAATTTGCGACGCGTTTTAGGGACATACGAGTTTACTCGATTATTTCCGAATTTATTTGGTTATTCGATAGGGACCTCGCCGTTGAACCATTACCGGAATACATGTTAAGGCTTGCACGATAAATGAAAACGGCTAAAAACCACCTCGAAACATAAACCAGCATCAACTATAACGAACTGGAAACTAAAGTAACTTTTATGTTTCAAATGGTGTAAGTAACCAATGACCCAAAACCGGTCCACTTTTATGTTTCAAATGGTGTAAGTAACCAATGACCCAAAACCGGTCCACTTTTGTGGAAAATAGTGCGGTAATCCACTGGCGTGAAACAAGTTCGAAGTGAGTGGAACTTCGCAGTAGAGTGTGGTGGTAGCAACTTTCTGTGGTCCACTGCTGCTGCTTTCGAGTGGGCTAACTGGCGGTTGTATCTGATGTAGCGCAGTCGTCTTTTTCTCCACAGTACAAAGCCACCAGAGCTCTCTCTCCCGCTTCGATGATATCTTCTTGTGTTGTGCGCTTGGTGCCGCTGCGAAAGACGAGTGCCATCTGATGGAAAACGGCATATTCCCTCAGATGCATCACCGGTTGCTTTTTGCCGATGTTGAAGAGGCTGCTAGTGGTGTCGCAGCCCCCAAGTAGTAGTAGTAGTAGTAGTAGTAGTAGTAGTATAGGGTTTTGCGGCGCTCGCAACTGCTAAGGTCATATGAGCGCGCGAAACACAAGTTATTTACTTTCGCAAAAGATCACTGCACTGTTGGTTAGCTTTTAGCCTTTAAAATGTTAAAATGTTATAAAAATCAGTGTAGGTATATATAAATTTTTGATCTAAAACAATTTTTTCTAGTTAACATAAAAATTTTAAATTGTATCAATTTCACTCTACAACTCGCCATAAAGGCCACTGGCCTTTATAAAATTCAAAATTCTGCTGGGAACAACGACGGAAAAAATGTCTTGCAATTTCTTGCATTAATAATATTTCCTTCGGATCTCTCCAAAGTCCAGACATTCGGTAAAGATGTGTCTAATGGTAAAATCTGTGTCGCATCCGACACAGAACGGCTTCTCATCTCC